CTGTTTCTGCCTCTAATATGTCTCTGACTAGACCTTCATGCCTGAGAAGGTGTCCTACCAACCTATCTCGCCTATTTTTTATTGACTTCCATAGAGTCCTCTGTTCTCCTATTCTTTCCAATGCCTCTTCATTTCTAACCTTTTCTACCCACGATATCCTCATCATCCGCATATAACACCACTTCTATCACGGTCAATTTATTTCTACTCCTCTCGGCGATCGTCTGTTCCTTTAAATACCCTTTTTTTTACTTTCGGGAACCTTTTGGAAACATCCGGATAGTTTCTTTTTTTTTTAACTGTTTAACTGCTTTCCAAGAATGCAGGTAGGACACACACATTTACAACTACGGCGCACACAAACACACTCGTACTCGCTACAGTGCCGTACAGGGGCTACAATTTCGACGTATTTTTAGAAGTTTTAGATTGATTATATATAGGCACCTGCACATTAATCCTGTTAAGGCCCCAAATAAGTCGCTTCTAAACAAATGAGATTTTCTTGAATCTTATTAAATGGATTACTCTTGATGTATCAAACTAAAAGAGTGGTCGAAGTTTCAAATCAAAACTCTCATTATTACCTGCACAAACACGAAGCCTCCACTCTACTGGACTTTCCCTCGCTATATTCTTATGTTTATAGTTAACACCGGAGGTGATGTGCATTGACTAGTACGATGTACGATTTTTTTACGAATCAACCGAATCAAAAGACTGTTAGACTTTATCCTTTATAGCATACCTACTGTAGAACATGTGCGAAAGCTTAGGAACATCAGGGACATCGTTATTGTTATTTTTGAAAGTTAAGTATTTTAATTGGTGATCGATATACTACTTAAGTGTTCTTAAACATTAATCAATATCAATTTCATTTTAAAATTTATTGGCAAAGGCACAGTAATTTCAACAAGAAACATTTGTAAAGCTGGGTGCATAGTCATTTGATTTAAATAGAATTTAGTGCAAATTGAGATAGTTAATATATTTAATATTAAAATAAAACATTGTGTTTAATTAACTGAAATTTTCCTTAAGAAGGTTCACTTCTTTTTCCCTTTCTTTCCGCCTTTCTTGTCCTTTTTGCCACCTTTTCCTTTTGGTTTTTGAACTGTAAAATCTGCAGGATCATATTGCGTATCAGCCTCAGTCTTAGGTTTGTTTCTTCGTTTCAATGCTCTATGCCTAAGCAACCCAGGAGGTGAAAATTCAATATCTAACTCGCTATCCGAAGAAGGCTGTTCATCTTCATCGTCACCACAGTAGCAGGTCCTGCAAGGAAGACAGTAACATTAAAAAAATGCGTAACTGTAGCATATAAATTAGTAAAGTTAATAACTATTTACACTAGTTTACATTTTTAATACATACGATATAAATTACATTTTTTTCATTTCTGTGCAAGTTATTGGGGCATGCGCGCCAGCAGCGCAAAAACTAAATACGAAAAAAAATTAAAGGGTTTAAATTTCCACAAAAAAAAAATTATTACAATTATGACATATTAGTAACTTACTTATANTCATACATACTAGGTATTTGAAAATCGCTACAGTATTTAAAATAAAACACCATCGTTTTAAGTTTTTAAATATAAATACAGAATAGTTTTAAGTCGTCGGTATTTAAATGCAAACATAATTGAGGGTTATAAAACGTCGATTAAAGCAATACTTGAAAGTTTTAAACGCATTGGGCTTAAGAATATTCCTTAAGTGCATCAATTTAAAAATAAGATGGACGCCTACTCAAGAAAACAAGAAGAACGTTTTCATCAAGATGATGGAGCGACGTTATCAGGGGTAGTAGAATAATCAAAGCATGATGGACTTAAGTCCACACAAACACAAAAAAGTACAAAGAAATATTCATTTTTGACTTTACTTATCAATTATTTTACATTAACTAGTAACATTAGTTACTTACATTTACACTAGGCTTCTGAAAAGCTCATAAATCATCATATCGTATGCTTTAAGTTTTTGAGAGAATTAAATTTTTACTCGGAACATTATTGTATCTGTTAAAACCATTATTTATGAAATATATATATAAAAGTTGACATCAGCAACCTAGGAAAAACGAAATGCAAGATGTGTGAGATGAAGGCGGTAAAACAGTTAAATAATAAATAATTATTTAACTACAATATAAGAACAAAGGCTTTCACGGCCGGAATCCATAGTAGAATGAAGATTCGGTCTATAGGGCCGTGGTCTAAGCGAACTATTCTGTCCAGACATTTCGTCAGCTACTGCGGCTGACATCCTCAGTGGTAGTGCTGCGTTGACAACACGACTGGGTCGTTGTCGAGACTTCGAGATATAATATACGTTCACGTTGTCAACGCAGCACTACCACTGAGGATGTCAGCCTCAGTAGCTGACTAAACGTTTGGACAGAATAGTTCGCTTAAACCACGGCCCTATAGCCCGAATCTTCATTCTACTATGGATTCCGGCCGTGAAAGCCTTTGTTCTTATATTGTAGTTAAATAATTATTTGTGGAATATTAGTGTCTCAGTATTTTTTTTCACAGTATAAAAAAAAACAGTAAAACCAAAGCAACCGAACCCCAAATCGAACCGTTGCCATCCCTAGTTCTAAGTTGTATGATATAACCACTGAACCACGCTGCTCCACACCATTTTTGGTTCATACCTTTATTTGACTTTGGGCGCTTTTTAATTAATTTATTAATTTGATTCGACTTTATCACGAATTGTTTTTTCCTCATTCAACCCTACACTTAATTCATACAATTTTCGTTTATTAACTTTCATTATTTATAAAATGATAATGATAATAATTCCAGTGGTTTTCAACCAAGTTCACAGTCATCACCTCGTCGCTACAACGATTCCCCGCTTGATCTCTTCAGAAACGATACAAGAACAAGCGAATCTCACAACCGATTACAAAGATTTGGTGTTCCTCCTTCTTCATACGGTCCACCTGGACCATCAGGAGTAGGAGGTCCTGGATACCCTAGTGGAACAGGACTTGGACATTACCCTGTGAAATTAGACATTGGTGGAATAGCTCTTGGTGCTCTTTTAGGATTAGGAGTTATTTTAGTTGCTCCAAAAATAGCACAGTTCTTAAGTGGTGGATACGGAGGAGCATACCGAAGTAAATAGTTTTTTAAGTATTTGTATAAATATAGCTCTTTTAAGCAGCTTTCGAAAAGTAGCAAACATATTTCCAACAACCTGCCCAGTCTGAATTCAAACATTAACCAAACAATAATAGGACAAAATATTGGATTATAAAATACTATGAAGATTTATTAGAATATTTTAATTGCATTGGTTAAAATAAAATAACCTAAAAGGGCTTACCCCCAATAATTACAACCATTTAAAAACTGCGAACATGTGTTTCGCTCATTTACATTATCAGCATCTTCAGCACAAGATAGTCTTGCGCTGAAGTCCTTTTTAGTTATTTAATTACCTCCATGCCACACTCTTCTTTAATATATTGGTTAAAGCCCTTTTGTGGCATGTCTAGATATTCAAGTACAGTAGCTCGCTTAATATTACAATTGGAAAGAACAGTTTAAATGAAGTAATTATTAAAGGTATCCTCATTGTACATATTATATGGGGTGCCCCATTTGACTTTATAGGAAAAAAATGTAACTCAAAAGTTTTGATTCGGCCTCTATAAGTAACTATTATTATAAAATATTCAAAAATATGTTAACTAAATGTAAACTAGAACAGATTTCTATAATCAAATAATAATAGCTGACGTAATACAAAGATAAGTACAGGATAACAAATGAACTCTGATTTTTCATAGTAATAACTATAAATCTTGAATCACTTGTGTAGACCCTAATAACCTTCCAGGGGGATGAATAGTCAAGAAAGAGCAATCCAAAATGAAACAATGCACGTACACATAGAATGTCATCTAAAAAATGGTAACTTTGGTTCGTGACAAACTTATAAAACACCCTGTGTACACATAGAAGTAACTTTAGTTTGTATTATGCAATTTTTGTTTTAAACTTTTCGACTCTTTACAATAACAGTTATTGTACTTGAACGCATTAATTAACCAGGCTGTATAATTCTTCCTACAAACGGATATATTTGCGGTTTATTTTGTAGTCACGACAAATCATTTAAAATGGATTAAATAATTGGACTGATGCTCTCATTGACAATGAAATACTTGAAAATTCATTATTCCTTCATTATACATGTGTTCAACGTTTAGGTTTAGATGACGACGAATCATCCATTTCATCTATCTTGGCAAAGCTAGATAATACATTGGACGAGCACAACATAGACAGCAGCTCGTGTATGCAACGAGTTATTTGCACATATGTGCATGAAGCGCAAAAGAATATGAAATTGGGTGAAGGCAGCCCAATGGATGAGTTCATAAACGCTCTATCGAAGTGAGTAATACGTAATAATTCTGTAATAATGATACCTTTTAATTTATTTATTCAGTGAACTCCTACATTTCAATAAGCCTGCATAGCATTATTAAATCTTCAACATTCTGACAATGAACAAGAGAAATTTAGAAAATAAATAAAGAAAAATAAAACTTTAATTGATGATGCTTTCTTGGACGACTCACTTCACAAGTTTTTTATCAATGTTAAAAACTTAGTATTTCAGGCTTTTTCACACACATAACTTTCTTGCGTTACTTACTTATAAAGACTTCCCCTCTGCTAAATTCTTCAGCTCGGTATATTCCCCCATAACAAGTAGTGGAATACCTTCTGAGAATCTCAGAGCCATTCGTAAAATTAAAGTTTATGAGTTGTTTGGAGTTGTTTGGACCCTTTCAAATTTTTGAAGCATTAATGCTGCTAAGTTAACCTTTTGGGCACCATGGTCATAAATGAAGGATCGTTTTAAATTTCTTTTCGCCTGGTATTATTAAATTATTGCTTTAAAACGTATAAGTAAATAGCTGCTAGAGTTACATTTATCCGAATTGAATAGTTTTATCTCAATAATTATTAAAACACCATGGTCTTCTATACAAAAATTTAAATTGTTTATACATTATTACTTATATTTTTTAGCAATCCAATTTTCACGTTTATGTTAGATGGAAGTGCAGTGAAACAAGCAATAGATATGGGGAAACAGAGTGATACTGAGAAATGCGCTTCTCTTTACGCAAAATGTCCAATTAGTAAAGAGAATGTCACACAAGTTATATCTACACTATTACCGTCGTTTTAAAATAATTCCTTATACCACTATGCACAGCAACATATATATTTAAATGTATTGCACTTTGTAGTAATTTATGCAATAGACGGAATATTTCACAAATATTTGCTTTTAATAATATCCACTATTCTACATACAATAGATGCAGTCATCCCTTGTTTTAAAAATTAATTATTACCTTCCCTTACTAAAAATTAAGCAGCTTTCAAAATAGAAAAACTTGGTTTAATTGAACAAAATAGATAAATGTATTTTTTTTTCATAAAAAATCAATACTTGATGTTTAATTTGAACTAACTGGAGTTACAGTTTGGGAATGCGAATTTTTACTATCAGATCCTTTAATAAAACGAAAATAAATACATGAGCAGTATGAGAGTGGAGTGCTCTGATCTGCTTCATCCTTCCTTCATAGAGTTACAGGATTTGATCGAGCATATTCTGATTTTAGTGTGTCTTCTAGAGCATTCAACTATGCGAAATAGTTATTTTTTGTATACATATTAAAGACAGAGTATCTGAATGGAGTCCCAGCAAAGTGAGCACTAATTTTCAGCAAGCAACAATTTTGGCTTTGGAGGATTTATTTCCTTCGGTCACCGCCACTTTTTAATTTATACATCAAGGACGCGATCAACATCATTAAAGACAGGACAACTGTGAGAATAGATATACAGAGGCAAAAGATTAGTATGTTTGAATTTGCAGATGATATAGCAATATTAACTTCTAGCAAGGAGGAGTTCGAGATAGCTTTAAATAAAATGGAAGCGATATTGACAAAACCGTACTGTATGAAAATAAATAAAATTAAAACAAAAATAGAATAAGGGAAGAAAAAGTAGGGAAAGAGCGAATATAAAGATAGAAGATGAAAAATTAGAAGTGGTTGATTTTAGGTATCTAGGAAGTCAGGATGGAAGGAGTAAGTAGTAGGGATATAAAACAGAGGATAGCGCAGGGTTGAGTCGCCTTTAATAAAAAGAAGTCA